ATCTCCATGGATGTCTTTTTTTACCCTAATATATTTATATATATATATATATAGTTACTAACTTATATATATAATATATTATATATAGGTATATAGTATCACTAATAACATAGTAGCCCTGCGCGTGTATATATCATATATGATAGTGCCTATATAATGTACTGTGCATAGCTTGGCCTTGACCTAGTAAGCAACATATAGAGTGACAGGGAAAGCAGATTTACACACAACTGAATAGCTTCGGAATCCATTTTCCTTGCTTCCCAGACGCAATCTCGAGCATACCGCTGCACGCGTGTACGTCATGCACGTACAAAACCACCGCGCAATACAAAGTGCCAAAACAGCTGGGCGCGCGTACTCATTGGGTACAGCGTCCACCGGACTATACCATCATTACATAGAAAACACGCCAATCTCAACAGCGGGAAACCACTGCAGGTGGTGGAGTCCATTACCTATTACATGAGAAAAGCAACGCAATACAACAGTGGCAAACAGCTGGGTGTGGTGCCGATTACTATACATGAGAAAACCATGCGCCAAATACAACAGTGCCAGTAACACTGGGTGGTGGCGTCCGATTATCTATTACATGAGATAAAAACACGCATACCCACAGCGCAAAACACTAGGATAGGTGTGGTCCGATTACTATTGACTACGTTTTAAATCATGCAGCGTGATAAACTAATCGACGACTCCAATAATGCTATTATTTCTTACCTTGACGTAAGCGGGAACGCCTCTGTTCTATATGCCTCCGATGCAAGCTGCGCCAGCGTCTTGACTTCTTTCTGCTCAACTGACACGAAATGACAACAGGTAAACCATGAATTATATAAAGTCGTAACCATTGGTTACCACGAAATCTACCGCTCGAACCACCTGACGACTTGTTCGGAAAAAAAAAAAACGTAAGGCTCGGCGTTTACCGACATCCGGCACGCTGCGAACAGAGGGAAACTTGCATACCATTAAGACTCAAATCCGCTTGCAGTACGATAAGACTCGTGCATTGCATACATAACACTCCGCTTGCCGCCCACCCGCTCGCCGCAACTCACAGTAAATAGAGGGTGGATGTTCACTGGGAGTGTGCCTTCCACTAATAACATGGACAGCGGGTAGCTGGAGGGTGGAGTTACTGAGCGTGCACTTACCACAATAACATGGACCGGTAGCTGGAGGGTGGAGTTACTGAGCGTGCACTTACCACAATAACATGGACCGGTAGCTGGAGGGTGGAGTTACTGAGTGTAAATGTTATTGTGGTAAGTGGGACCGGTAGCTGGAGGGTGGAGTTACTGAGCGTGCACTTACCACAATAACATGGACCGGTAGCTGGAGGGTGGAGTTACTGAGTGCATGTTATTGTGGTAAGTGGACCGGTAGCTGGAGGGTAACTGGTGGAGACTGATTATAAATGCACTCACATAAGTGTGGAGAGCAACGCTGACACTGAGCCTACCTAGCTATCTAGCTACCTACCTAGCTAGCTATCTAGCTACCTACCTACCTAGCTATCTAGCTACCTACCTATCCATCCATCCACCCTCATCACTGACACTGAGCCTACCTAGCTATCTAGCTACCTACCTACCTAGCTATCTNTATCCATCCACCACCCTCATCACTGACACTGGAGCTACCGAGCATGCTATCCATCCATCCACCCTCATTCACTGACACTAGCCCTACCTAGCATGCTACTCCACCAGCCACCCTTCATCACTGACACTAGCCCTACCTAGCTACCATCCATCCACCCTCATCACTTGACTACTGAGCTACCTAGCAATGCTATCCATCACTCCACCCTCATCACGAACGAGCCTACCTAGCATGCTATCCATCCATCCACCCTACACTGATACTGACCTACCTGCATCGATATCATCCAGTCCACCCTCATCAACTCACACTTAGCACCTACATGCTATCCATCCATCCACCCTCATCGCTCTGACACTGAGCGGGGCCACTGCATGTATCACATCCATCCCACCTCTCATCGCGACACTGGCGGGGGCCTACGCCGTTTAAGCATGTGTACCACTCCCATCGCCCCTCATCACGACCTGACCCTACCCTAGCATGCTATCCATCCATCCACCCTCCATCACTGCACACAGCGCATACCTTTAGCATGCTACACCATCCACCCTCACCCACTGACACCTGCAGGCCTACCTAGGCATATGCTAATCCACCACTCCACCCTCATCACTACACTGAGCACCTACTCTATCCATCCATCCACCTCACACGACACTGACCTACCTAAGCATGCTATCCATCGCATCCACCCTCATCACTGACACTCACCTACCTAGCATGCTATCCATCATCACCCATCACTGACCATCTGAGGCCACCTAGCAGCTACCATCCATCACCCTCATCACCTGACACTTGAGCCTACCTAGCATGCTATCCACCATCCACCCTCATCATGCACACTGAGCCACCTAGCATGCTATCCATCCATCACCCTCAGCACGACACTGAGCCTTTAGCTAGCATGCATCCATCCATCTTTACCCCATCACTTGATACTGGAGCCCTACCTAGCATCTATCCATCCATCCACCCCTCATCACTACAACTGAGCCTACCTAGCATGCTATCCATCCATCCACACTCATCACTGACCAGTACACTGACCTACTAGCTATCCATCCATCCAGCCCTCATCACTGAGCACCAGCTTACCTATCATGTCTAATCCATCCAGTTCCACCCTCGATCACGACATGAGCCGCTACTAGCATGCCTAATCCATCCTCCGACCCTCATCACTGACACGAGCCTACCTAGCATTAGCTACATCCATCCACCCTCATCACTGAACACTGAGCTCTACCTAACATCCACATCCACCCTCATCACTGACCACTGAGCCACCTAGCATCTATCCATCCAATCCACCCTCATCACTGATCACTGAGCCCTTACCAGCATGCCTATCCATCCATCCACCCCCATCACTGACACTGAGCCTACCTAGCATGCATCATCCAATCCACCCTCATCACTGACACTAGAGCCACCTAGCATGCGTATTCCATCCATCCACAGCTCATCAGACACTAGTACAGCATTGTATCCATTCCATCCACCTCACACTGACACTGAGCTCCTACCTAGCATGTATCCATCCATCCACCCTCGATCGCCTGACACTGCGGTACCATAGCAGTATCGCACTCCATCCACCCTCATCGCGTGACACTGAGCCACCTAGCCATGCTACCGCCATCAATCCCTACCCTCATCCTGACACTGAGGCCTACCTAGCCACTATCCGTCCATCCACCCATCACTGACCTCAGCCGACTACCTAGGCATTCACCTCCATCTCCATCCACCCCTCTTACTCACTCGACAGCCTTCACAGTCTCTCCTCACCTACGCCGATGCGCTAACATCCAGTCCACCTGCTCCATCACTGAACTGAGCCTACCTAGCTATCGCACCCCATCCACCCCCCTCATCCACTGACACTGAGCCTACTAGCATGCTATCCCATCCATCCACCCTCATCACTGACACTGAGTGGACCTAGCCTAGCATTGCGTATTCCATCCATCACCCTCATCACTGATACAGGCTACCTAGCATGCTATCCATCCATCCACCTCATCACTGACACTGAGCCACTAGCATGTATCCATCCATGCCACCCTCCACCTCGCTGCACACGAGTGGCCTACTAGCGATGCTATCCAATCCATCCACCGCTCATCGCTGATCACTGAGCCTACTAGCATGTTATCCATCCATCTCACCCTCATCACTGACACGCAGCCTACCTAGCATGCTATCCATCCATCCACCTCATTCACGTGACACTGAGCGGCCTCTAGCATTCTATCCATCATCCATATATACATATGCCTACCTGAGGCATCCTATCCGATCCACTCCACCCTCATCACGACAACTGAGCCTACCTAGCATATCGATCCATCCACCCTCAGCATCTGACACTGAGCCTACCTAGCATTCCCTATCCATCCATCACCTCTCATCACTGACACTCAGCCTACCTAGCAGTGCCTTATCCATCCATCCACCCTCATCACTAGACACTGCAGCCTTACCTAGCATGCTATCCATCCATCCACCCTCACGACTGACACTGAGCCTAACCTATCATGCTATCCATCCATCCACCCGCGATCACTGACACTGACCCTACCTAGGCATCATCCATCATCCACCCTCATCACTGACACTGAGCCCTACCTAGCATGCTAATCCATCCATCTTACCCTCTATCATCTGATTTACTGAGCCTACCTAGCCATGCTATCCATCCATCACCCTCATCACTGGACACTGAGCCTACCTAGCATCTATCCATCCATCCACACTCATCACTGACAGTGACACTTGACCCTAACCTAGCCCTATCCATCATCCACCCTCATCACTGACACTGAGCCTACCTAGCATGCTATCCATCCATCCACCCTCATCACGACATCTGAGCCAACCTAGCATGCCTATCCATCATCCCACCCCATCACGACCATGAGGCCTAGCTAGGCATGCTATCCATCATCCACCCTCATCACTGACACTGAGCCTACCTAGCCTATCTCATCATCCACCCTCATCACTGACACTAGCCTTACCTAGCCATGCTATCCATCCAATCCACCCTCATCACTGACACTGAGCCTAACCTAGGCATGCTATCCCATCCATCACACCCTCATCAACTGACTACTGAGCCCTACCTAGCATGCTATCCATCCATCCACCCTCATCACTGACACTGAGGCCTTACCTAGCATATCCCTATCCATCCATCCCACCCTCATCACTGCCACACTTGACCTACCCTAGCTGCTATCATCCAATTCCACCTCTCATCGCCTGACTACTGAAGCCTACTAGCATGGCTATCATCCATCCACCCTCATCGCTGACACTTGAGCCTACCGAGCATTTATCCATTCCATCCACCCTCAGCACTGACAACTGAGCCTTACCTAGCATGCTATCCATCCATCCACCCTCATCATCTGACACTGAGCCCTACCTAGCATTCCGTATCCATCCATCCACCCTCATCACTGACACTGAGGCCTAGCCTAGCATGCTATCCATCCATACCACCCTCATCACTGACACTGCAAGTCCTACCTAGCCGAGCTATCCATCCATCCACCCTCATCACTGACACTGAGCTCCTACCTAGCATGCATCCGATCATCCACCCTATCACTGACACTGAGCCTACCTACTAGGCACTTGCTATCCGATTCCATCCACCCTCATCACTGGACACTCAGCCCTACCTAGCATGCTATCCATCGCATCCACCCTCATCACTGACACTGAGCTACCTAGCATGCCTATCCATCCAATCTATCCCTCATCACTGATACTGAGCCTACCTAGCATGCTAGCCATCCATCACCCTCCATCACGACACTGAGGCTCTACTAGCCCATGCTATCCATCCATCCACTCTTACTCACTTCACTGCACATCTGAGCCTACTAGCATGCCTATCCATCCATCCACCCTCATCACTGGACACTAGAGGTGACCCTACCTAGCACTCTAACCATCCATCTACCCTCCATCACGATACTGCCAGCACCTACTACGCATGCCTATCCATTCTCTCTTCCACCCTCAGCACTGACACTGAGCCTACCTAGCATGCTATCCATCCATCCACACTCATCCAATCTGACAGCTGACACTCAGCCTACCTAGCCTCTATCCATCCATTCCACCCTCTCATCACTGACACTGCAGCCTACCTAGCCCATGCTATCCATCCATCTCACCCTCCATCACTGACTACTGAGCCTCACTAGCATGCTCATCCATCCATCCACCCTCATCACTGACACTGAGCCTAGCCTAGCATGCTTATCCATCCATCCACCCTCACACTGACACGGAGCCCTACCTAGCTATCCATCCATCCACCCTCACACTGACACTGAGGCCTACCTAGCATCGCTATCCATCCATCCACCCTCTATCCCACTGACACTCGAGCCTACTTACCTAGCCCATGCTATCCATCCATCCACCCTCATCACTGACACTGAGCCTACCTACCTAGCATGCTATCCATCCATCCACCCTCATCACATACACTGAGCCTACCTAGCATGCAATCCACCATCCACACTCATCACTGACACTGAGCCTACCTAGCATCCGCTATTCCATCCATCCACCCTCATCACTGCACACTGACCTACCTAGGCATGCTATCCCATCCATCCACCCTTCATCGCTGACCCACTAGCCTACTAGCATTGCTATCCATCCATCACCCTCATCGCCTTCCACTGAGCCTGACCTAGCATGCTATCCAATCCCATCCACCCTTCATCACTGACACTGAGCCCTACCTAGCATGCTATGCCATGCCATCCACCCTCATTCACTGACACGGAGCCACCTAGCATTGCTATCCATCCATCACCCTCATCACGACACCTGAGCCTACCTAAGCATCCCTATCCATCCATTCCACCCCAATCACTGACACTGAGCCTACCGGAGCCATGCCTAATCCACATCCACCCTCATCACTACAACTGAGCCTACCTTAGCCAGCTATCCATCCATCCACGCCTCATTCACTGATACTGAGCCTACCTAGCATGCTATCCATCATCCAACCCTCAATCACTGACACTGCAAGCCTACCTAGCATCTATCCATCCACTCCACCCTCATCGCTGACACGAGCCTACCTAGCATGCTATCCATTCCAGTCCACCCTCATCGCTGACACTAGCCCTAAACCTAGCATGATTACCAATCCATCCACCCTCATCACTGAACACTGCAGCCTTACCTAGCATGCTATCCATCCATCCACCCTCATCACTGACACTGAGCCTACCTAGCGATATCCATCCATCCACCCTCATCACTGACACTGAGCCTAACCTTAGCCATGCCTATCCATCCATCCATCCCTCATCACTACACTGAGGCTCTATCCTAGCATGCTACTCCATCCATCCACCCTCATCACTTGACCGAGCCTACCTACCTAGCATGCTATCATCATCCACCCTCATCACTGACACTCAGCCCTAGCCTAGCATGCCTATCCATCCACCACCCTCATCACTGACACTGAGCCTACCTCAGCATTCCTATCCATCCATCTACCCTCATCACTGATACTGAGCCTACCTAGGCATGCTAATCTCATCCATCCACCCTCATCCACTGACACTGAGCCTACCTAGCATGCCTATCCATCCATCCACACTCATCACTGACATGACACTGAGCCACCTCAGCTATCCATCCATCCACCCTCATCACTTGACACTAGCCCTACCTAGGCATGCTATCCATCCATCCACCCTCATCACTGACACTGAGCCCTACCTTAGCATGCATCCCATCGATCCACCCTCGATCACTGACACTGCAGCCTACCTAGCATGCTATCCATCACATCCACCCATCACGACACTGAGGCACTACCTAGCTTAGCAAATCCATCCACCCCCTCATCACGCACAACTGCAGCCTACCTAGCCAGCCTTATCCATCCAATCCACCCTCATCACTGACACGAGCCTACTTACCTAGTCATGCACCATCCATCCACCCTCATTCACTTGACACTGAGCCTTAGCCTAGCATGCTATCCATCCAATCCACCCTCATCCACTAACCACTGAGCCTTACCTAGCTGCCTTATCTCATCCATCCCACCCTCATCACTGCACACTGAGCCTACCTAGCATGCATAGGCATCCATCCACCCTCACACTGACACTGAGCCCTTACCTATGCTATCCATCCATTCCACCCTCATCACTGACACTGAGCCTACCTAGCATGCTATCCATCCATCCACCCTCATCACTGACACTGAGCCTACCTACCTAGCATGCTATCCATCCATCCACCCTCATCACTGACACTGAGCCTACCTAGCATGCTATCCATCCACCCTCATCACTGACACTGAGCCTACCTAGCATGCTATCCATCCATCCACCCTCATCACTGACACTGAGCCTACCTAGCATGCTATCCATCCATCCACCCTCATCACTGACACTGAGCCTACCTAGCTATCCATCCATCCACCCTCATCACTGACACTGAGCCTACCTAGCATGCTATCCATCCATCCACCCTCATCACTGCGACAGCGAGCCTTACTTAGCATGCTATCCATCCATCCATCCACCCTCAATCACTGCACACTGAGCTACCTAGCATGCCTATCCATCCATCCACCCTCATCACTGACACTGAGCCTACCTAGCATGCTATCCATCCATCCACCCTCATCACTGACACTGAGCCTACCTAGCATGCTATCCCACGTCCATGTCCACCTTCATCACGACACGAGCCTTAACCTACCTAGCATATCATCCATTCACCCTCATCACTGACACTGACCCTACCTAGCCATGCATCCATCCAGCCACCCATCACTGACACTGAGCCCTACTAGCAGCTATCCATCCATCCACCCGTCATCACTGACACTGTCAGCCTAGCCTAGCTATCCATCCATTCCGCACCCTCAGTCACTATACTGAGCGGCCCAACCTAGCATGCAGCCATCCATCCACCCTCATCACTGACACTGCGACGCCTGAACCTAGCATGCTATCCATCCATCACCTCATCACTGGACCACTGCAGCCCTACCAGCTATCCAGTCCATTCCACCCTCACACTGATACTGAAGCCTCCTAGCCTAGCCAGGCTAGCCATCATCCACCCTCAGTCACTGACACTGAGCCTACTAGCAGCTATCATTCCAATCCATCCCTCATCACTCAACACGAGCCTACCTAGCATTGCTCATCCATCCATTCCACCCCCTCTATCTCCTGGACACTGAGGCCTACCTAGCATGCACCCATTCCATCCATCCCCTCATTACGACACTGAGCCTACCTAGCTATCCATCCATCACCTCATCACTGACGACTGAACCTACTAGCATGCTATCCATCCATCCACCCTCATCACTGACACTGAGCGCCTACCTACGCATAGCTATCCATCCATCCACCCTCATCACTGACACTGAGCCTACCTAGCATGCTATCCATCCATCCACCCTCATGGATAAATGCCCCCCCCCCACCTTCTTCTTCTACACTGTGCATGGGTATGGGTGCGTGTGGCAGGGTGTGTTATGAGTGTTGACCGGGATTTAATATTTTATGCCCATGGATTACATGTGTGATGTAGGGGGGAGGGGCACGCCATGTGTGATGTAGGGGGGAGGGGCACGCCATGTGTGATGTAGGGGGGAGGGGCACACCATGTGTGATGTAGGGGGGAGGGGCATGTCATGTGTGCTGTAGGGGGAGGGGCACGCCATGTGTGATGTAGGGGGGAGGGGCATGTCATGTGTGCTGTAGGAGGGAGGGGCACACCATGTGTGATGTAGGGNTGGGTGGTGGGTCCGATTACTATTACATGAGAAAACCACGCAATACAACAGTGCAAACACTGGGTGGTGGGTCCGATTACTATTGACTACGTTATTAAATCATGCACGTGATAAATTAATGACGACTAATATCTATTATTTCTTACCTTGACGTACGAAACTCTGTTCTTATCCTCATGCACCGCCAGGTTTGTCTTCGTCACTGCAAACAGAATCATGAATAATAGTAGTAACCATGGTTACCACGAAATGCTACCTCGAACACTTGACGAATTTTCGAGAAAAAAAAAGGTCGGCGTTACTGAACGAGGGAAACTTGCATACATAAGACTCGCTTGCATACATAACACTCGCTTGCATACATAAGACTCGCTTGCATACATAAGACTCGCTTGCATACATGAGACTCGCTTGCATACATAACACTCACTTGCCCCCCCCTCGCCCACATCACATAATAGAGGGTGGAGTTACTGAGCATGCACTTACCACAATAACATGGACCGGTAGCTGGAGGGTAACTGGTGGAGACTGATTATAAATGCACTCACATAAGTGTGGAGAGCAACGCTGACACTGAGCCTACCTAGCTATCCATCCATCCACCCTCATCACTGACACTGAGCCTACCTAGCTATCTATCCATCCATCCACCCTCATCACTAACACTGAGCCTACTCAGTCGTCACGTGATCGAGGTGGATGACTGGACTAGCATCGCTAGGAGGGCCCTCAGTGTCAGGCGAGGAGGGGTAAATGGATGCGATAGCATTGCTTAGGTCAGGTCCAGTGTTTCCAGTGATCGAGGCGTCGATGATGGCATATTAGGTAGGTCCAGGGGTGTCAGGGCTTGTGAGGTGGATGGATGGATGGGACCAATGCCCTCAAGGNTGGGCATGTCCGCTCGCCCCCTACTGCTACATCAGCAATGGCGTGCCGCCTCCCCCCTACATCAGCACATGGCGTGCCCTACCGCCCTACATCAGCACATGGTCGTGCCCTGCCTCCTCTAACATCACCATGACGTGCGCGGCCTCCCCCTAATCAACACATGGCGTGCCCCTCCCCCTACATCAACATGGGTGCCCCCCCCGCCCTACATACACGATGGCGTGCCGATCCCCCTACATCGCACTAACGTGCCCTCCCCCTAACAATCACACATAACGTGCACGCTGCCCGCCCTAATCGCACCATGGCGTGCCACTCCCCCCTAGCAGTTCACAGCGTTGAACGTGCCGTCCCCCCTACTCAACATGGCGTGCGCCCGCTCCCCCTCATCACCTAATGGCGTGCCCCTCCGCCCTAGCATCACAATCGATGAGTGGCCCCTCCGCCCCTACATCGACAACATGGTAACCATGGGCATCAAAAGATGAAATCCCGGTCAACACTCCTAACAACCTGCCACACGCACCATACCCATGGTACAGTGTAGAAGAAGAAGGTGGGGGGGGGCATTTATCCATGAGGTGGGATGGATGGATAGCATGTTAGTAGGCTAAGCTGTCAGTGATGAGCGATGGATGGTGGTGCATGAATAGGATAGCTCAGTGTGCAGTGATGAGGGTGGATGGATGGATAGCCATGCTAGGTAGGCTTCAGTTCAGTGATGAGGGTGATGGATAGATAGGCCATGGCTAGGGTACGCTGCAGTTGTCCAGCGATGAGGGTGATTGGATGGATGAGCATGCTCAGGTAGGGCTCGTGTGCAGTGATGAGGGGTGGATGGATGGATAGAGCTAGGTAGGCTCAGTGTCAAGTGATGAAGGGGGATGGATGGCTAGCATGCTAGGTAGGCTCAGGTGTCAGTGATGAGGGTGGATGGATGGATAGCCATGCTAGGTAGGCTCAAGTGTCAGTGATGAGCTGGATGGATTGGATAGCTATAGGGTAAGGCTCGTGTCAGTGATGAGGGTGGATGTATGGATAGCATGCTAGGGTAGGCTGCAGTGTCACGTGATGAGGGCGGATGATGGATAGCATGCTAGATAGGCTGCAGTGTCAAGTGAAGAAGGGTGGATGGATAAGCATGCTAGGTAGGGCTGCAGTGTCAGTGATGAGGTGATGGATGGATAGCTTAGGTAGGCTCCAGTGTGTCATGATGAGGGCTGATGGATGGAGTAGCTAGGTAGGGCTCAGTGTCAGTGATGAGGGTGGATGGATAGATAGCATAGGTAGGCTCATGTGTCAGTGATGCAGATGTGGATGGATAGATAGCTAGGTAGGCCTCAGTGTCAGTGATGAAGGTGGACTGGATGGATAGCTAGGTAGGGGGGCTCAGTGTCAGGTGATGAGGGTGGATGGAGGAAGTAGCATGCTAGGGTAGCTCAGTGTCAGTGATGAGGGGTGAATGGGATGGATAAGCATGCTAGGCTAGTCTCAGTGTCAGTGGATGAGGGTGGAGTGCGATGGATGAGCATGACTAGGTAGGCGTCAGTGTCAGTGATGAGGTGGATGGATGATAGGCATGCTAAAGGTAGGCTCAGTGTCAGTGATGAGGGTTGGATGGATGGATAGGGATGCTAGGTAGGCTCAGTGGTTCAGTGAATTGAGAGTGATGGGATGGAGTAGCCATGCTGGTAGGCCTCAAGTGTCAGTGATGAGTGATGGGATGGATGGATAGCTAGGTAGGCTCAGTGTCCGTGCATGAGGGTGGATGGATGGGGGATAGCATCGCTAGGTAGGGCTGCAGATGTCAGTGAGCACGGGTGGATGGAATGGATAGCTAGGTTTGGCTCAGTGCAGTGTGTGTGATGTAGGGGGGAGGGGCACGCCATGTGTGATGTAGGGGGGAGGGGCACGTCATGTGTGATGTAGGGGGGAGGGGCACACCATGTGTGATGTAGGGGGGAGGGGCACGCCATGTGTGATGTAGGGGGGAGGGGCACGCCATGTGTGATGTAGGGGGGAGGGGCACGGCATGTGTGATGTAGGGGGGAGGAGCACCCCATGTGTAATGTAGGGGGGAGGGGCACGATAGAAAGAATGTAGATCTACACTTTCTGTTACAGTTTCCCCACATCTGAATCTACTTCTAAATATACCCTGCAACTACAGATAAATTCTCTCTCCCCCATGAAGAAGGCTTTCAATGCCAAATTCCACTTACCATTCAAATATAAGCACCCTAGAACTACAAATAAATTCGCTCTTCCCTCGCACAAACCAGGCTTTCTATGCAACCCACTCCACCTACCATTCAAATATGAGCATAAAGCCAGGGGCAGCACCCATTGTCAGAAACAAAATTAGTCTTAACACTGGTCTTAACATTTTCTCATAGACCGGGTCTGCATACACTGCATATGAGAAACTCGAATCCCATGCTTCTGTCAACAGACAACAGTCTACAAGACAACGTTAGCATTAAGAGTAACATCAAGGCTAATTTTGTTTCTGACAACCGTGGTTTCCATGGCGATGCGATCTACACGACCGCCTGCAGCACCTACCATCTAGCAAGTCACGTATTTTATCCATGTAGATTTCGAAGTAGGAGACCTTGATGTGGAATTCAAGGTTTTCGTCCATCCCATAGATGTGATTGAAGATGTCCTGAACTATCCGGGGAATGATCCCCATCTTCATCGAATCCTCAAGGTCAGCTCCCTAACGAAGCAGAGGTCAAAGGTCGGGGGTCACTGAACATTAGAGGGCAAAGGTCAGGGGCACTGTCCGTCAAAGGTGAAAGGTCAGAACTCACTCTACATTATAGGTCAAAGGCCAGGAATCACTGTACATTAGGTAAAATGTCAAAAATGTGAAAGGTCAAAGGTGACATTACAGATTAGGGGTGATTGTACATGAGAGGGAATAGTACATGTGATCATTATACATAATTATGATACAATACACATACATGATAATAATAGTCTAATATGGTACATGAGAGGGAATCAGTAACATGTATGTGACTATTCGATTATACATAATTTATATAACATACATGATTAATTATCTCAACATTATACATATTATGAGTACACAACATCAAGATGCAGATAAACACAAGCCGTGCGCAGCCGATTCCCGCATTTTTAACCGATTTTTCCTCATCAAAATTTGCGCACCAATAAAGAAGCAAGTGCTATACGTTCCTCAGCTTACTTATGACGCATAATCATCAACCGTCAATGTACTGAATTCTTTTACATATACTTTGCTAGCTATTGCTGCTAAATCGTAATCTTGCACGAGCTGAATTCGCTACGACTTTACCGCTGTTTGCTATGACCTGTTTTAGCCATTATTTTAAGAAGCTATCGGCCGCTATAATAGCAACGGACGGGGTGGGGGGGGGGTTCCAAAATCATTCGCTGCCCCGACTAGGGTTGAGAGCAATCTAAATTTCGAATTTTCGATTCTCGTGACAGAACCTGGGAGACGCTGCTCAGTTATTGTCGATACGGCAGACAAAGAAATGTGACATACTATCGCTTACATAAGAATACATACAATAATAACAATATTCTCTGTAGTAGTTTGGAGTAAGTAATCACATTACGCACGCCGCAGGTAATTCAAGTACGATTAAGTCCCTATCTCGGGCAACGCAATATTTGGAAAACCGTCCGTTGCTACAATATTTGGCGCAGCGATAGCTTTAATATTGTCTAAACCACCTCCGCAAAAAGCTCGGCCATTTTTGCGTAAATTTATCGAATTCAGCTCGTGCAAGATTACGATTTACAAGGCAATACGCTAGCAAAATATATTAAACGATAGTCAGTACACATGACGGTGAGTGATTAGTGGTCATAAACTAACCTGGGACGTATACACTTGTTGCTTTATTGTGGCATAGATTTTGATGAAGAAAAAGTCGGTTAACAATGCAGGAATCGGCTCCGCCACTCTTTGTGTATTATCTGCTCTGACATACATGATAATCTAATAGGTACATGAAGGAGGGAATAGTACATGTATGGATTATTAATACATAATTATGATACACATTACATGATAATATCTAATATGGTAGCATGAGAGGGAGATAGTACATGTGATTATTATACATAATTATTGATATACATACATGATAATATCTAACATGGTACATGAGAGGGAATAAACATGTGATCGGCATTATACATAATATGATACACATACATGATAATATCTAACATTATACATAATTCATGAAATACACATACATGAATAAATATCTAACATTATAATAAATTATGATACACATACATGAATAATATACTAACATTTAAGGGCATAATTATGAAGAATACCATACATGATAATATCTAACATATACGCATAATTATGATACACATACATGATAATATCTAACATTATACATAATTATGATACACATACATGATAATATCTAACATTATACATAATATATAACATACATGATAATATCTAACATTATACATAATTATGATACACATACATGATAATATCTAACATTATACATAATTATGATACACATACATGATAATATCTAACATTATACCATAATTATGATACACATAGGCCCCTACATGATAATATCTAACATTATACATAATTATGATACACATATCATGATAATATCTACAACATTATACATAATTAATGAATACACATACATGATAATCATCTAAAACATTATACATTAAATTATGATACACATACATGAATACTATTAACATTTTTACATGACAGGTCATCACATGTGATTATTTAACAATAGTCGAGCCAGCCCTCCAAAATTTGGGTTTCATTACAAGGAGGTGAACAAGATCCAACATGGATTTTTGGTTAGCCTGATATATGAAGTGTCCCAAAATCACTTGATGGACTTTCGGGTCACTTTGCCAAACTGCCCGTATGGCGGCCAACTTTAAAAGATTGCGCGCCATTATTTCACCAAAATGTGTGGAGTCGAAAAGTTATGCATAGCTCAAATACAGGAATGTTGTAATTAGCCATGTAGATTGAGCTTAAAATGTTATGTATTGAGATATCCGGCATACTGGTGATATNGATCAGGGGTCACTGAACATTAGAGGGCAAAGGTCAGGGGCACTGTCCGTCAAAGGTGAAAGGTCAGGGATCACTGTACATTAGGTAAAATGTCAAAAAGGTGAAAGGTCAAAGGTGACATTATACATTAGGGGTGATTGTACATGAGAGGGAATAGTACATGTGATTATTATACATAATTATGATACACATACATGATAATATCTAACATTATACATAATTATGATACACATACATGATAATATCTAACATTATACATAATTATGATACACATACTTGATAATATCTAACATTATACATAATTATGATACACATA